TGAGCCTTCTCCGTGTCGGTCTGCCTCTGCCTGAGCTCCGTGAGCTGTTCGTGCACCTGCACGTTGACATCGCCTCCCGCTCGGAAGCGACCGCTTTGACGAGCGCCACGGTGCGCCCGTTGACCTCACCCAGGATGCCAGAATCCCGCTTGTCGATGCTGCTGGTGATGTCGGCCTGAATGCTGCCAACAACTCGTCCAGAGTGCCCCTCGAGAGCGAGGAGGAGCCAGAGCTGCTGCCACCCCTCGCGCGTCGAGGTGTGCCCGCGGCCCGTGGATCAGCTCTTCCTTGGAGCGGGCCCCCTTCGCGATCAGCAAAGCGTTGACCACCGTGAAAAGGGCGCGCGCCACCAACTGCCGCAGGCCTGGGGTCTGATGCCGAGCTTGCCGCCGCGCCTGTGGCCGCCTCCTTGGAGCGATATCGGTGCCCTTCGTCACTAGGGCCACCGTCGCCGCAGCGACGGTTCCGGTGCGGAGTCGCACGGGGGGCGGCTTGCCCACCACGGGGCTGCACCTCCTGCCTGTCAGCGCCGAGGCCATCCGCGCCCGTGCCGCGTCTGCGGAGAGCCCGCGGTGGGGCTCGCGCTGGCGGATGCTGTGGCCGAAAAGGCTGTGGATTATTTGCTGGATAAAAGGGACCGCCGTAATCGGGGATCGACTCACGACACATATCAAGGCCCTCTCGAGAGTAACGGATGGGCCAAAGCTAATCGGTGATTCTCGGGCGCCCATAGCCCTTCGCAAAACTTGTTTGGAGCCAAAATTGCTACAGGCTCCTCTTCCTCCCCCTCCTCCTCCTCCTCCTTGTTGCCTCGTTGCCTCCTCGGGGCGGGGCCCCCAGAGGGAACCCCGCCATGATCCAGGGGTCCTCGCCACGGCTCACCCCGGCGCGATGGGGCGTCCCATCGCCGGGGGAGCGGGGCCCAGCTCACGCGCCCACCCCTCGCGGACGGCGGAGCCAGGCAAGAGAGCGAAAACTTCAGACCGCGAGTGCTGGAGAGGGAGGACCTCTAGGTCGCCATCGCTCCCCAGAACTCGGCGGGATCGAGCGTCTCCGCCGCCGCCTCCAGCGACCCCTCCGCCCAGCCCCCCCCCCCGAAAGGCAAGAGGCGCCGAGGCGGGCGACGAGCGGCCGAGAAAGCGTCGAGAAGATGGGTCCTTGCCCTCCTTCAGGGCCCTGATGGAACGAAGACCCCGCGCCGTGGGCGGCTGGCGTGGCTCCCCGATCTTCAGGACCTGCTTAGCCCCGTGAGCTCCACGTCGGGGGCGCCAGGCCATTCCTCCCCGAAACCGCCCGCCCACCAGAGCTTATGAGACGGATGGGCGCGAGAGAGGGTGTCCGGGGCGCCAGTGCAACGCCTGCTGATGAGCCTAGCTCGGGAGGCCGTCTCACGGCCGCACTGCAGACAGCACCGACGCCCATTCCGAAGCAGCTTGACATGGTGACCCCTCGGATCAGAAACTAAATCGCAAGGGTCCAGCACCCGTCGGATGCGGGGCCTCTCAACATCAGGAAACCCTGAGAGTTGCAGATGGTGGGGGGGCACGGCCCGTATAGTGGGCCACGTGTCGGGCCGCCCACCAAGCATGACCCCGCCGATGCTCTAACTCGGGGTCCTGGGGGTGATGGGCGGCTCCTTTCTTAGCGAATTGATCAGCAAGATGATTGGACCTATAATGAAGCCACGGGACTCCCCTAGCCTGAGCTTCCGCCCACGACTTGTGGGCAGGGGTCCACGCAACATCCACGAGATCAAGCCCTACATCATCAAGTTTAAACCAAATCGCTTCCCAGACTTCGGAGTACAAGCGAGTGGGCGCGCAGCAGCCGGCCCTCCCAAGCGCCAGGCCATTCAAGATATCACGGCAATCGGTTACCACCGTGAGAGGAGCCTGACAATGACAGAGACACTGATAGAAAGCCCAGAGCTCGGCGAGGCCAATCTCCTGAAGAGGAAGGGGGAGGGCCCCATAGATAGCTCCCTGGGACTGGCCGTGACGGTCGACCGAGGCGCAGACCCACCCTCCACGGCTCCCAAACTTACAGTCAGGAAACAAAGCGGACCCATCAATACCGACGATCCCCGACAAGGCCCCACCTGTGAGAGCCCCATCGCGGTGAATGCGGCCAGAATGATCCAGAGGAGGACGGTGTCGAATTTCTGCGTCGGCCAGGCATCGGAAGAAGAGAGGATCATCCACGTCGCACTCCGCTCCGGCCTGCGTCACCTGATCCAAATCGAGCGTCTGTCTGACACGCGCAGAAAAATCGCAGCGAAACAATATGTGGGGCGTGTCTCCCGCCTCCTGCTGACGCACTCTGCAAGCGGGGGACTGAACGGACCTCGCATGAAAGCAGCGAAACTGGGTCCAACAGCCGCCAGCCACATGCGTGGCCAAAAGCTGAGCTCCACTCTTGAAGCCCTCTTTCCGGAGTTGGGCCTGGGCGCCCCGAATGGGGGCCAGGAGGGGCCCCCCAGCGAGATGCTCGAGCCCTGGCGTCCCTGGGGGGCCCTCCAGGAGAGACGCTTCCGCACCTAAATCCACGAGCTTCCGCAGCGTGCCCGGGTAGACCTTCTGAAGATCAATCTGCACACCCCCAGCAGTGCTCCACGCGTCCCACCTCTCAGCGGTCCATCCTAGGCGAGACAACGTGGCCAACGCGGCCGAGCATGGTCCCAAGACCCTGCCAGAAAACGACTCCGTGACCTTGGCAAACAAACTGGCGAGGAACTCCGGAGCGATCCAACGCTCGACGACAGCTCGCCCCCAGAAGCACAACGGCAAGGCATTGGCAGGGAAGACGGGGTCAGTCTGAGTCGAGGCGCTGAACATAAACTGCAGGGTGCGCGAACGGCCTGCCGCAAGCCCCAAAACAGCAGCGGCGACAGCGGCGCGGAAACTCTGCAGCATCGTGGTCGAGATGCCCGTAACCCTGACTCCATACAGGGCTGCGGGAGTGCCGCCACACTTGAAAATCTTGCTGAGCCCCTTGCGCGAGGAACTCAGGAGTCGATATCGACGAACCCGCTTACGAACTTCAGCAATCCTTGAACGCTGTTGAACCCTCCTGGGCCTCGAACAACTGAAGTCCACCCCGAGATTCCAAACCCCAGACTGGGCCGAAAACTGCCAGGATCCCAACCTTCGGACCAAGATTTTTGAAAGCTGGGTGTGGGAGGAGGTGAGCTGACATTTCTTGCGTGAAACTTTCAGCCCGATCTCCACGAGCGAGTCGCAGAGCATGTTAGTAGCGCGAGAGAGAATATCTGCCACCGACCTGATGCGACCCGTGCATGACAGAGTGCAATCGCCCACAACAAGATACCCTGCGACTGGACGGCATATCGTAATCACCCGGTCCATGGTCGGCAGCAACAGCATCCGAAGCATTGAAGTGGCAAAGGCGCAACTGGTGATGATCCCCTGCGAGACCCGGAAGGGAGCGTCCGAAACGTAAATTCCCACTTGTAGCACACGCGGCCCCGAATACATGATAATCAAGAGAGCGATGCGCCTGAGGTTGAACTTGAGCTCCCGGGCCCTGTGGATCAAACGGGGGTGGTTCACGAGCTCGTGCGCCTTCCGGAGGTCGGTGAGGGTGCTACCCGACGCCTGCTTATGATGATGGGCCCACTCCGCGACCACGCTTTGCTTCCAAACAGCTTGCTCACAGGATTTCCCACGAACCCCGTGTGCCCACTCCCGAGGATGCCAGGACTCCCAATCGGTGGCATCACCGCGGCGGAGGGCACCTAGAATGCGACGGCATGTAGTGAGAATCCCTATAGACCTTCGCCCACCTTCAGGCTTGAGGAGGAAGCCGATAATCACTCTCCACAGCTGGAACGGGAGGGTGAGCAACACTTCAATCTGGAAGAGCAGCTGACCCAGAGCCTCGAGGCCGTCATCGGTAAGCTGCAACAACGCATGAGGGTGCCAACCGTCAGCGCCGACAGCAGTCCACTTCTTAAAGCGCTTGAGAGCTGAACGAAGGCGATCGGGCGAAGGGGCCTCAGCTGGTGGAGGAAGGTCGAGCTGCGAAATAATAAGGTCCTGGACCTGCTTGATTCTCTCCTGCTCCTCCGCCGTGCCCTAGCTTGCCGAAACGCTTGCCACTCAGAATCCGCGCGCAGTGAACCCGCCCAGGACAACAGCTTCTGGAACAAGTGATTGGCATCCTTGCTATCGGTCTTCCCCGCGAGGGCCAGAAATCTGAGCTCTTGAAGGCGATGAAGAATAATGCGCCGAGCGCGGGCCTCTGGAGAAGCTCTGGCAAAATGCCCCCGAGACTTGGCCAGCGCAGGCCGAACGACGACCTGGACTCCTCCACCCCGACCAGCGTGGACAGCCGCCTGCCCAGCGTCGTGCCCGTGGAATCGAGAAAGCTCAGCCTCCGCGGTGTCGCAGAAAGCCAGGTAACCAGTAGAGAGATCCGCGCCTGTGGAAGCCTGATTCAGGGACGAGATGACTCCTGACCAATCTTTACCTTCAAGACGAGGACCCACCTGCAACTCCTTGGGAAACTGCTTGGGTAACTTCAGGGTCGGCAAGGATATCGGCGACGGACGCCCACGAACGGTAAGTCGAACACCCCAGTGGGGACTCGTGGAACACTCATCCCGGCGAACGCACCCAACCACACTCGGGACGAACGAACCCAGACGAGACCACGAAGTAGTCGAGCGTGTGCCACTTCGCCCCCGACCCTCGGCAGGTAGGTTTGCTAGTGTAGACGATCGTGGCCCCCGCGGAGGCCGCCCAACCAGATTCCAGAAGGATATGTGGCTCCACGTTCCAGTCACCTCCGAGAATAAAAGGCTGACCTAACGCCAAGAGGGCCTCACCGAGCTGCCTGAGGATCCCGAACGAGACGTCATCGAGGTCCCCGCCCGTGACAAGATACGCGCTGCCTACCAGGAAGCCTCCAGAGACCAGACCATTGACCCACGTCAGACTGACTCGCTCAGATGGCCAAGGGCGCTTAGGGATAGGGGCCTCAGCCAGGCCTATGCGCGGTTTGACCCCGACGACAATCCCCGACGAGAGGCCCCCACCCGTCGAGACAGATAGCGAAACCTTGGCCTTCCAACCGAGCCGACCTAGCGAAGTCTCCGCCATGCCCTTGTCGGCTGGAGCAACTGCAACTTCCTGCAAGAGGACGATGTCGCCTACAGCCTCCTCCTGAAGAAAATGCTGACAGGAAGCCCAAGACGTGGTGTTACAGGTCGTGATCGTCCACGTCTTCACTGAAGAAACTGCCCGCGAATTGCCCTGGAGCCCATCGGCACCATCATGAGGCTCGTCGGCGTGTGGATCAGGACCCTCAGCCACCAGCTCGCCAGTATTCGAAGATGCCGTAGCCCTGGGCCTACAGTCTACCTCCACCTGTCTCCAGCGGCCCCGCAGGCCCCTGTGGCGGCCTCAACGCAGGACACCTCGGACCCTGGAACAACATACCCGCCCCAGGGTCTGTTGTCCCAGGGTCGGCTACAGGCCGCCTGGTCCAACCAGCAGCCGGGCGGGCGACTTCGACGGAGTCGCCGAACAAGTCCCACTGGTGGTCCTGCTCGCCGTCGTCGCCCGCCTCCACGCCGACGTCATCGCTGCTACCCACGCCCCCCTCGGCCGCTGGGCCCCCCCGCGACACTCGCCCGCTCCTGCTGGTGCATGAGCGCCACCTGCTGGAGCAGACTGAACCTCTGCATCACGAGCACCTGATCGGCTGCGACCCCGATCAAGAGGAGCAGGTAGCAGCCCTTGTGCATCAGCCCGCTGCAGCGCCTGGCGGGCCGCCTGCTGCACACGCGGGTCCTCAGCGTCGGCGAGGGCCGGCGGCGCCGCCATGTCCTCATCATCAGAAGCCTCCGCTGCATCCCAAGCCTGGCCACCGCGATGCAGCCCATCAAGCTCGCGAGCTGCGAAGCCACCCGGCGGCGGCGGCGGCAGGGCCGCCTGCGGCGGGGCCAGCACCAAAGCCGTCGAAGCCGCTCCGGCCGCGGCTGCCTGGGCTGGCGGAGCGGGCGCAGCAGGCTCCGCCGCCACCGCAGGCCGCTGGCCTGGCTGCGGCGGTGCCCGCCGCGCAGGCTGAGGCGCGGGCTGCGGCGCCCCGCCGGGGCCCGCAGGCGCGTGGGCGCCCTGGGCCCCCGCCATGGCCCCCAGCAGGCGCTCACAGGTCTGCACCATGGCGGCGATCTCGGGCGGCAGCGCCTGGCCCACCGCCGCACGCGCCTGGCCGAAGGCGGCCTGGGCGGCCTGCAGCTCATCACCCAGCGGGCCACTGGGTGCCAGCGCCGCCGAGGCCCGAGCCCGCGCCGCGTCGTACTCCTCCTGCAAGCCTCGCACCGCCTCCTGCTGGTCCACAACCTGGACCATTGCCTCCGTGGCGGCCTGCTCCAGCCGCTGGAGGCGGGTCCGCGCCTGGAGCAGCTGCGTCGACAGCGTGCCGACGTCCTGCGACGCCTGCCACACGTCCAGCGCCGGCTTGGCCAGCCCCGACGACGCCATGGCGCGACGGTGCAGGAGCTTGTCGCGCTGGGACTGCGTGAGCGAGCCGCTGAGGGCGCGGAACTGGTCATCGTCGAGCGCCAGCCACTCACGCTGCTCCTCGTCGGAGAGCGGGCGAGGCTTGCCATGACCCTGGCCTCCGCCGCCCCACACGCCGCCAGGAGGGCGATGAGGACGATGATCAGGCATCGGAGGCCTGGGAGTGCCACAGACGTAGCACTCCGTCCTCCACTCGTAGTTGTCCTTGAACTTGCACTTCTTGCTTGGACACGCCCAAGCATTCCGTAGCCACCCATGACTCCCCTTGGCCATCGCACTGCCCAAGGAGAACGGACCGCGCACTCGGGTACAGTACACGGTGTAGAATGTGAAAGTATGCGCCGCAGGCGCACGGAAGGCAGCGGACCCCTGGCTGGGCAGCCGTCTGGGGGGCCCGCAAGCGTCGGTCGCCACCTCGCGCGTGGGGGTTCCACAAATGTTACTTGAGCCAAAGTCTACGGATCCTCCTCCTCCTCCTTCTCCTCCTCCTCCTCCTCCTCCTCCTCCCCCTCCCCGCCCTCGCACCCCCCCCCCCGACCGCCTCTTTCCCCTGGCCCACAAACTCCGCCTCCACCGCATCCTTCCCCTCCCCGCCCCCTCCGTCCCCATCCACCCCCTCCTACTCCCCTCCACCCTCGCCAACCCCAGGCTGGGGAAACCACACAGTACAGACAGCGCTCATCCCCGGACCTCTCCCTGGGTGCGTCCTGCCCGGATTTTCGAAGCAAATCCAGCCGCGGAGACGAAGGCCCCTCAAGGGTCCCTCAAAAACGAAGACGAAGGACTGGCACCGGCATCGGTGCCTCTTCCTCTTCCGACCTGCCCATCGCTTGAGATAGCCATTTGCTGTGTTGTGCCCTCGCCCGCCCGCCCGGTCCCGAGCAACCGCGCTCGGCGGCCGGCGTCCCCCTCCTCTTCCTCCTCCTCCTCCTCCTCCTCCTCCTCTCTTTTCTGCCGGCGCCGACTGACGGCAGCGCCCGGCGGCCGTGGCCTGGTAGGCGGCGGCCGAACCGTCTGCTCGCCAAGGGGGATTCGGTAGCAACTCGGTGGAGGCTCGTGTCTGGGCCGATCGACGACGATCTCGAGGTCCCCCCCCCCTAGCGCCCCCCTCCCGGTGTGCCCATGCTCGCCCCCCAAGCAGGGCCAAGAGTCTGATTATCCTCTCCACCTCCTCCTCCTCCTCCTCCTCCTCCTCCTCCTCCTCTCCTCCTCCTCCTCCTCCTCCTCCTCCTCCTCCTCCTTCTCCTCCTCCTCCAGGGCAAGACATAGAGAGAGCCACGGGTTCCGCGACTCCCTACATAAACAAGATCAAGAAGATTGGAGCGGACCTCGGCAACGCTGAGGATACGCGAAACGCCCGACGAGATGTGCCTGTATTCGCCACGATCGAGCCCGCTCCAAAGCTTCTTGGCTCACGTGGGCAGGTTTCCCGCGCCTGGAGAAGAATGCGGGGCAAGTCGAGCAGACGAAAGCACACCACATCTGGAGCAACCGACGAGATTGACTCCATCCTGGAGTCTGAAAGAAGACGAAGGCATGGGGGGCAGTGCCCTGGGCCTGACAGTTCCTGGAGGCCGCAATTGTCCTGGAAACCAAATCCGAAGGCACGGGGTCCTTCGCCGAAACAAGCTAGGGTTTGGGCGGCTTGTCCTTCAGAAAAAGGAGGGGGGGTGGGGGGAATCAGGAAGCACGTCCCCTACACGCGCCGCCCACTGCACCCAGGACTTCAACGCCCTCGCGCGGGCCTGCTGCGCAGAGAGGCGAGGCAGTGGGGGTCGGAAGGCCTGTGCTGCCCACTTGGCGTGGGCGTCGGCGATGTCCTTGCCGAGTTTAACTCTGAGGGCCACTCGGCCAGCATCAACATCGGCGTGGGTCGAATGGGCAGGCGCTTTGACAAGCGAAACCCACGGCTACGGCACCCCGTCGAAACCACAATCATCAAGCCTGTCCCAGACCTGTCTCCATCAAAAGGAACGCGTGCTGAACAGTCGAGTACATTCAAACCTGCTGCGCGCAGTGACACCGTCGAACACATAATTCGGGTCGTGTGCACAACAGTGGGCGGGCATGCGAGCCTGAGGCAATGCAGCAATGCCTGCAGCTCAGCTTCGCTGATGGACGGAAACGCAAAAAAAATGGGGCCGCACAAGACAGCGGCCTCATCACAACACATGCTGTGCCCATCTGCCAGAGACACCACCGACCATCCCGCGGCGGCCCAGGGCCCGGAATCACCCTCGAAGCACGAACCATCCAGGAAGACGTCCCTGCAGAGCAGGCCAGGATGCCCATGGACCGACAAGGATTGTGGGAGGTCGGAGTGAGATGCGCGCTCAAAAAAACGGCATCGGCACAATACATCTCTGGGCTAGCGGCTGCGGGAATCCACCTTGCTGTGCAGCGTCAGCAAGGGGCGTGCACGACACATGTGGAGACTCCAGCGTGAGCGCGTGCTGCGCCCACATGCAATGCCTGTGCACAAGCGTGCCGAGCGCGCGCGTGCCGACAGCCAAACACGCAAGGCAGTACGGTTCCACGGGATACCTGGCTTGCCGTTGCCTCGCCATGGGCCACTGCGCGGCAATGGCGCCCCCCGCCCAACGCTTGTGTGGGTGCTGTCGTTTTCCGAATGCCTTCAGCGACGGGCGTGCTACGAGCGGGGCGCTCGGGCCGAGTGACGGAGCCCCCTGCCCGCGCCCAGAGCGATAGCTGGATCGATACTGCAGGGTGGGTGGGCGGTTGGCGCAGCGAGCGCTCGAGCTGAGCCAAAATGGCCACGAGTGCCTTGACTCGCGCTCGCCCAGCCCAAGGCGCCTCACTTGCCCTTTGCCTTATACCTAATGCACGCGGCAATGGCGCCCCCCGCCCAACGCTTGTGCGGGTGCTGTTGTTTTCCGAATGCCTTCAGCGACGGGCGTGCTACGAGCGGGGCGCTCCGGCCGTGTGACGGAGACCCCTACCCATGTTCGCCTCCGCTGGCAGGCACGCCAGCTGCACCCCTGAAGCACTTCTGGCAGGTGGCCTTGTGGGCAGCCGGGGCGATCGCATGTGGGCCCAAGCCGAACTTCCAGCCGCAACGCGCCGTCCATGCGGCGGCCGGGAGAACGGGTGGCCCAATGAGCACCGCATGCAGCACCCCAGACTCGCGATTAAACACGTGCGTTTGGCCCTCTGGAGCAGCGGTGGCCGCTCTTTGCTGCGCCGCCGCCGAATGGCGCGCGGCTGCATCGAGAAGTCCCCGGCGAAGCGACGCGCGGCTCTCCTCGCTGCGAAGCCTGCCGAGGACGCAATCGACCAGGCCCTCCAGACCGCCCTCGCCACGACGAAGCGCGCCGACGTCGCCGCGCAGCTCGGCGACCTGAGCGAGCACCGACTCGAGGTCGAGGCCGCTGCCAGCGCGCGCCGCCCAGCGAGCCGCTGTGTCCAGCGAGGCCTCCCGCGCGTAGCCCTGAACCGCGGCGCTGCCCCAGCGGCCCAGGAGTTGAATAGACCAGAGGTCGACCCCCAGGCGCGCCAAGCCTTGCGCCCCCGTGGGCCTCAAACAGTGGCCTCCGACGCGCTCGGAGCCGTCGGGCGCAACCGGCGGCGCGCCCAGGAAGGCTGCCGCGCGGAGGATGGTCGCCGTCATCGTAGCCTTGCTAACAGTGCCCCCGCCTTCCGAGGGGAACAATGGGAGGTCGTCCTCTGGGGCGCCGTCGTGCCAGCGCTCGGGGAACCTCTTCTGCAACAAGATGAGCTGGTCCCAAGCGGCGTGCACTGGGCACTGCGGCCGCGCTTGGCCCCCGCCGCACATGCAGCCGTGCGTCCGCGCCACGCCCAGCGCCGCGGCGTCCGTCTTGGAGGCAGGCAGGTGCCACGTGACTGTGGGGCGATCACCGCGCGTGAGCTCGACGAAGCACGCCCTGGTGGTGGACAGCTCGACCTCCCGCGCCATCCACCAGGCGCCGGCGACGACCGCGTTCCGGGGGCCTATGGGGCCCCCCGCCGCCCGCGGCTCCTGCCCGCCCGGGAGCGAGCCCAACTGTGCGAACGGCAGTGCCCGTGTTTTCACGGGGGCGCCCATGCCCCGTTGACACGAGCGCGCGCCGTCCTTGGCAGCGCGCGCGACGTCGTCGGTCAGCGAGTAGCCCGAGCGTTCCGCGAGCAAGCGGTAAGCAGAGACATACGCTTCCGCGCTACGGTACCCGCCCAAGGCCGGCGCAGAGATGACGCATCTTTGCGGCGGTGGGCGGCAGCGG